TGGGGGGGGGGGGGGGTCGCATGGGCAAGAGAGGCATGGATCCAGGCGTGGATGCAGGCTGTTGGCAGGTGCAGGCCACCGTGCCCGGCAGCTGCCTTGCTCGACACCCACCCTCTCTCGCCCCCTGGCTGGCTGGCTGTTGGCTTCGCAGGAAGGAGATTGAGCGGTTCCGGGAGGTGACAGGCAAGGATGTTGGGGCGCTGGAAGCGGCCAAGGCTGCCAAGGGCGCGCTCGAGTGCCGCACGCTCGCGCAGGTGGGGCCGGGGATGAGCGCTGGGCGGCTGGCTGCCCGGGGCAGGAGGCGAAGAGCTGGGATGGAGGCCTGGGGTGGGGATGGAGGCCCCGGAGAGGCTGGGGCGGCTGCTCTGGAGCGCCGGAAGACAGCAGGCAGCGCTGTAGTCACCTGGCATGCGCAGGCATGCGCGCCAGCTCCTGTTTGCTCTTGGTGGGTTCCATGCCTGCCTGCCGCCAACTGCCGCTGCCTGCTGCCGCTGCCCCGCAGGCGGAGCTCAACTCCAACCTGCACGAGCAGGTGGTGCTGCTGCGGGAGCAGAAGGAGCTGTCGGAGGCGCGGGCGGAGAAGAGCGGGGCGGAGGTGAAGAAGCTGACGGGCAAGGTGGGTAGGGATGCGTGTTGTGGGGTGTGGTTGTGTGTGACGCGCGGCGTTGTTGGGTGTGTGGAAGGGGCTGGCTGGTGGGGATTTGGGCACCAGCTGGCGGCGGCGGCCTGCTTGCGGCGAGCGGCGTGTGGCGGGGCGCTCCCCCGCGCTGTCGCCTGTCCGACAGCCTGCCCCTGGCACCTGCCCTGCCTGCGCGCCCGCCCGCCCTGCTTGCTGCAGGTGAAGAAGCTGGAGAGGCAGCTGGCGGAGGCGGAGCGCAAGGTGGTGGAGGGGGAGGCGGTGCGCCGCCGCCTGCACAACACCATCCAGGAGCTCAAGGGCAACATCCGGGTGTTTTGCCGCGTGCGCCCCGCGGCGGAGGGCGAGGGCGCCGAGGCGGCGCCGGGGCGCCCGGTGGTGGCCTACCCCGCGGCCGGGGACCTCGTGGGCCGCGGGCTGGAGCTGTGCCAGCCGGGGGGCGGCGCCGGTAAGGGGGAGCGCGACGCGCAGGCCCACAGCTTTGGCTTCGACAAGGTCTTTGCGCCGGGGGCGTCGCAGGTGGGTGGCAGATTTCTCGCATGCACCGTGCTGGTGGTGGTGGTGCTGCCTGTCGCTGCTGCTGCCCCGCAGCCAAAGCAATGTTGTGCCCGCTGCCGCCTGCCTGCCCGCCTGCGCGCAGGGCGAGGTGTTTGAGGAGATCAGCCAGCTGGTGCAGTCGGCGCTGGACGGATACAAAGTCTGCATCTTTGCGTGTGGGTGGCAGCACGGCCTGCCGGCCTGCTGCCTCGCGTCGAACGGCAGAGTTTGGGAGCGGAGCAGCTGCAGCCGGCGTACGCCCGCCGGCGCTCGGCGGCCGCATCCCAGCCAGCCGCCGACAGCTGCTGCTACTGCCGCCTGCCTGCCTGCCTGCCTGCAGATGGGCAGACCGGGTCGGGCAAGACGCACACCATGATGGGCAGCCAGCAGGAGCCCGGCATGATCCCCCGGGCAATGAACCAGGTGGGGGCACCCGCTGGGCTTTGGCACAGCACGGCATGGTGCTGCACACAGCATGCTGGGTTGGGGGCCCAGCATCACGCTGCCAGGCTGGTTGCCCGCCAGCCAGGGCTCTCCGAGTTCAGGCATGCGTGGGGCCAGGTGCACGTCCAGCAGCTTGTTGAACTGCCCCCTGCCTGCTCTGCCATGCCACGCTTGCAGGTGTTTGCGGCTGCCAAGGAGCTGGCGGCGCAGGGGTGGCGGTATGAGATGAGGGCGGCCATGCTGGTGAGCAGGAGCACCAGCCGTGGCGGTGTTAGCAGGCATGGCCGCCTGTCATGTGCATTTGCACTGAAGCCCAAATGTAGCAGGCTGCTGCCTGGCGGCCTTCCAATGCCTAAATGCACATTCCTCTACTTCCTGTACTGCAGGAGATCTACAATGAAGAGTTGAGGGACCTGTTGGGCAAGGGGCCGCCTGCCGGCAAGAAGCACGCGGTGAGTACGGCCGCAGCTGCTGGGCGGGATTCGCGGCAAGCGCTCTGCTGCTCCGCCCTGCCCAACCCCATCGCCTGCACGCCGCCTACCTGCCGGATTTCCTTCCCACCTCGTCCCGGCTGTCGACACACCCACCCGTGCCCGCCGCACAGGTATCCCACGACGACAAGGGCGGTACCACGGTATCCCACCTCGACTACGTGGACGTCAGCCAGCCCGAGCGCGTGGCAGCGCTGCTGGAGCGCGCCATGCGGCAGCGCAGCGTGGGCGCAACCGCCATGAACGACCAGTCCAGCCGCTCCCACATGGTGTTCCAGCTGCAGATAGAGGGGGCCAACGCGGAGACGGGGCAGAAGGCCAAGGGTGGGTTGTGGTCTTGCAAGGCGTGGCGAGCGTGGGAGGCTGCGTCGGGAGTGCTGCCAAGGGGGTTGGAGCGCTGGCGGAGTTGCCTGGCCGCCATTTTCCCTCACGGTTGCTGGCAAAGCAGGGCCAGGTGGATTTCGTCGTGGTCTGCGGGCTCACCTGCTTGCCTGCCTGCCCGCCGACTCGCACCCTGCCCCGCACCAGGCCTGCTCAACCTGATCGACCTGGCGGGCAGCGAGCGGCTGTCGCGGTCGGCGGTGACGGGGGAGCGGCTCAAGGAGACGCAGGTGAGGGGGCGGGTGGGTGGGTGTGGGGTGGAGGGGTGGGGCACACGCTTACATACCTACGGTGTTGGCTACCCAATTGTGTTCCCTGTCATGGTTCCTTTGCCCTCGCATCCATCACACCACACCACTTCCACACGTCACCGCTGCCCCTGCTCTCCCCGCCTGCCCATCGCACCACGCCCACGCCCTCAGGCCATCAACAAGTCTCTGGCGGCCCTGGGCGACGTGATTGCGGCCCTGGGCAACAAGGAGGCGCACGTGCCCTACCGCAACTCCAAGCTCACCTACCTGCTGCAGACCAGCCTGGGAGGTGGGGGCGGGCCGCCCGTGCTGCAGGCTGCCGTGGCCAGCTGCCCTGCCGCTGCTGGCGGCAGCGGCGGCGCTGCCAGTCCAGGGGAAAGCTGTGCAGGCACACTCATGATGGGAGTGTTTTCTCCCGCTGCCTGCCGCAGGCGCCAACAGCAAGACGCTCATGTTTGTCAACGTCAGCCCCAGCGCCGAGTCTGCGCAGGTGGGCAGCTGGCTGTGGGGAGCTGCTGGGACGGAGGCAGCTGCCCTGGCCTGACAGCGCCTGTCGCCGCTCTGCTGCTACTACGATCGCGAGCCCCGGCTGAAAGCTGCGTGCCTGCCTGCCTGCCTGCCTGCCTGGTTGTCTCCGCAGGAGACGCTGTGCTCGCTGCGCTTTGCTGCCAAGGTGAACGCCTGCGAGATCGGCACCGCCAAGCGCAACGTCACCACCGGCAAATGAGCCTGGCCAGCCATGTCGCGCGGCGTGCCGCCCCTTCTCTGTCCACATTGCTTCCCTTCGACCCCCAGACTGCCGTTGCGCCAGGAACCGCTGCAGACCCTCTTAACCGCGCTGCTCTCACTCCACCTGACCGATGCCCGGGGCCCGCGCACACACACACCTCACATACCTGCTTGACTGACAAGCCCTGCCGACACCAGCCGCCGGTGTGACCAGCGGGCCGCAGGTTGCCAGCCACCACCTCCTGTCACAGCTGTAAAACGCCTTGCTGTAACACTTTCATGTGGACTCTGCCGCATGTGGACACGCTCAGCCGCTGGCGTGTGCCCGCTCGACTCCCTGCGCCCGGCACCTCGCCACTGCTGCCTGCTCAGCGCTGCAGCTCCTCAGACCGCGTCCCGCCATGCCCTGGAGCAGAGACGGCCACACCAGGCTGTTGGGGGGGCCACTGCGCGCCACTGTGGGGTCACGGCGGCAGGTTGGCATTAGGGCCGCGGCATTAGGCGGCCGCGGCTCTGCCTCGCTGGCAGAGCGGGGAGTGCGTGCCGCCATTATTTTACGCTGATGACCAGGCCCTGCTGGCCACCACGCCGGCAGGCCTGCGTTTCCAGCTTGGTTACCTTGAGAGCTACTGTGCCGCCTGGGGCCTGACGGTTAACACCAAAAAGACCCAGGTGGTAGTGTACACCGCTGGCAGGGCTGCTGCCACGGAGGAGCGGTTCCGCTACGGCGGCAATGAGGTGGAAACCGTCCCCACCTTCAGATACCTCGGCGTGCACCTGCACTGCCGGCAGGCCTTTGCCTCGGCGGCATCGTATCGGGCGGAGGCTGGGCGGCGCGCGATGCACCTGCTGCGTCGCCGCCTGGCCGAGAATGGGTTGCAGGACCCCCTGCTCAGCATGCGTGCGTTCAAGTCTTACGTCCTGCCGACGTTGTCGTACGGGGCAGAGATCTGGGCGCCGCAGCTGATTCTGCAGGGCAGGACGGCATGCGAGCGGGTACAGCTGGAGTACCTGCGAGGGCTGCTGGGTGTGCGGGACAGCACCCCAGCCCTCACTGTGCTGGCAGAGACGGGGCAGCTGCCGCTGCCCGCCTACTGGACCTTGCAGGTTGCACGCTTTGTGAGCAACCTGCAGGCTATGGGCGGCGAGCGGGTCGCCCGTCTTGCCATGCTGGATAGCGTTGCGCTGGCTGCCGACACG